TATTTATACAGTCTTTATTTTACAGTTACAATATTTGTTTATCAAATAAAGTCTAATGTTACAACTAATCGGGGATCCCTTTAAATTAAGTTCCAAACATCCAGATCCAAYTCCAGTTACAGTGAAATCACATCATAAAATGCTAACAAGTAAACATATTCTGCCTAAGAAAATCTTCAATTTTGCACCAAATCCCTCCAAGCACTGAGGAGACAGTGGAAGGAAACCACTCTCTTTAATAGAAAAAAAAAAAAACAACAGGAAATCTAGAACCAGGTTCAGGATGAGCGGCTGTCTGCCTCAACTGGATGGAGGTTTGCTGTCCAACAGGATAATCAACAGAGCTTTTCATAAATCCCTACGAACAAACAGAAAATCCTGTTTTGTTCAACAGTCCTGGTTCTTCTGTGCTCGATTGGAATAAACGTTGTTCTAAAACCTTTAAATACTTTTTGAAACTGATGGATCATTTCCAAAAAGTTCAAGATGTTCATGCCAAAGGCACTAATGCAACCTCATATCATCAGAGAGGCAGACGTTTGAACTGTTTAAATGAGCTTTATTACAGAGAAGACAGCCATGTTTCTGGATGGTGTTTACATATGGCTTCTTCTTTGCATGATAGAGCTTTAACCAGCAGTAAATATTAGGGYTGTAACAATCCATGTATCTGTATCYAACTGTTCAACACAGTGTTTTAGGTTCAATYCACACTATGTATGGAACTATACAGATTTTTAAAATGTATTMTATCAYCTTGTCTTCTGYAGARGCTCTGTGTTGAAGGATCAGTGGATCTGTGTTCGACTACTCCACCTAGGCTGCATTGTRGAGKACAGATCCACTGAGAAACTTGCTGTGGGCATGGACATTTCTCTTTTTTGTATTAAAGAAATATCAAACCGTGACYCTAAAGTATCGAAGCGAACTGAAGRGTAAATTTTCTGTTTCGTTGCACCCCCAGTAAACGTGCCACCTGATCCTCTGTCAGACCGGTGAACCCCTCTGAAGAACCACCATAAAGGCWGGTTTATACTTGGAGTCYCATGTCTTATTTGTGCAACTTCTGTCTGCTTTCCTGCTGCTATCCCCCAGTGACAGCCGTCATGTACACTGCTCCCAGTAAGAACTCTGCAATGCAGCMTTGTGGCTTGGAGCATGTGACTGGATAGAACTTCATGGGTGTTTGTTCATGAGGAACACTGCAGCGGTCCAGGTAGACTCTGATCAGCTCTTCTTTCTGCAGGTTATTTTGTTTAAAATGATTCTTTTTGTCTGAAGCCAGATGTTAAATACGACGGAGTATTAGGGCCACACAACGAGATTTAAAAAAAAATTATTATGAGTTTAAAGTCATAATATTACGAGATTAAAGTCATCATATTATGAGATTAAAGTCATCATATTATGAGATTAAAGTC